TTGATTTCTTTTTCTTAGTTTCTCGGCCAACCAAACAGTCCCTAGAGGGTGGAAGCATTTTCCCCTTGATCCATTAAGGACGCCGTAGTTTTAATGGAGTACAAAAGAAAGGGCTAAACAACACTTAAATACTTCATAGTTTTACTCTATAACCCCTTAGTTTTAATTATGTACGCAACAATTTTTCGGAGCACAAAAGAAAAGGTTGAGGAAGCTCAATAATAAAAATTGTAGAGTACAAAATTAAAGAGCAAAGTTTGCCGCCAAAGACCTGAACTCCAAAAGAGCCGCCCGATAACAAACAAACAAAAGCATGAATGACGTCACTACCCTCTCCAACTTCTCTCGGTCAAAAACCGATATGCACTCACCGATGTCCATCCATTATAAAACACGAGAGTCCCGCTCTCGAATTGTCGGCGTCTGCCTCTCCAATTTTAAAGCTCGATTCTTGGCGATTCAAATCCCCAAATTCTTCATCAATTAGGGTTTTTGTCCCCCCATTTTATCCGGTTCCTGCAAAAATTCGAGTTTCCTGATGGAGGCTCCGGCGATCCGCCAGCGGATGACGCTCTCGATCAGCTCTCGTCCTCCAATCCTCCTCCAACCTCCGCGACCAACTCAGGTTCCCAACGAGCCCGCCGTCCCCGCCGCCTCCTCCGTAGAGGCTCCGTAACCCTAGCCACCGTCCTCGAGGCCGAGAAGATAATCCGCCGCCGCCTCACGGCAGCCGCCATCCAACCCCGGAGGCGGCGGAGGCGGCCGGACTCTCCTCGACGGATCAGGGAGGAGGAGGATTCTCAATCCGACGGCGAGGGAGCCGGTGGTGCGCGGGTCTGACGGATCGGGCTCCGGATCCGTCCGTCCGACGCGTGAGCGACGGATCGGCGCCCACGTCGCCCAGACCGGAGGCATCAGAGTCTCGTTGATGACTCTAATGGAGCTGAGGGAGAGGGAGGAGGAGAGGGAGGAGGAGAGGCGGCTGGCGGCGTCGATGGCGCGGCCGAGCTCGACGGCGGCGGGGACGGCGACGCGGCGGTTTCGCACGCGTGCTGCGTGTGCATGGCGGAGAAAGAAGGGGCGGCGTTCATCCCCTGCGGGCCATACGTTTTGCAGGGTGTGTTCGAGGGAGCTGTTCGTGGGGCGAGGTAATTGCCCCCTTTGCAACGGTCCCATCGTCGAGGTTCTTGATATCTTCTGATTTAAATCCAGGGAAGAAAAAAAAAACAATCAATTCCACCTTTCGTCTTTAAGGAATTAGGATCTTTTGTTGTCATTGTGATGGCGGTCGATTGAACACAGTTTACAGAGTTGGTAATTTACAATACAGTCGGATGCATGTATATATCGCTCGCAAGGTCATCTTACTTAGCCTGCATCCGTCGCCTAAAAGTTAGTTTGTCTACACATCTGCACCTCAAATCTTCAAGGGGAGTGCTAGGAGGACCCAACTGGGTTAGTTGTCTACGCACCTATTCATGAGGTGGCTGTTGTTATTAATTAGTTTTAATTAGGGAGTTAAGGGCATTTTTTCTTATTTACCTCTTATGCCTCTTCAGATCTCATTGTTTCCCAAAATAAAACTACATTATCCATCTAATTTATTATCATCTCTGGTGCCGGTTCCGGTTCCTCTAGGGCACCCCTTTGGCTCAGCTGTTGTATTCCAAATAAACTATAAAACCCTTTGAATCCACAATAAAAAAGGTGGTGCTACAGTCACCATTCTTAACCACGCTCCCACCCACACTCCTCTTTCGCTACAGTATACTGAGGCCTACATGAGAATTTTTTTTAATTCTCATGTAGGCTCCAGTGTACTGTAGCAAGAGAGGAGTATGATTAGAGGGGGTGTGCCTGTAGCATTTTCCTATCAAAAGCAAATGAAGGGTGAACATGTAAGATCTGATTGACAAGGCGACAAGAAATTCATCCGCATGCATTCAAATTCCAACGGAATTTTTTTTTGCTCATCCTATAAAGGCGTAAGAGAGCCCATTTAAATGTGTCCTTTGTGGCCGGAGGTAAGAGAAAAGGAAGATGCACGATTCTTTTAAATTTTTTTATTTTTATTTTTTTGATTTTAACCTCTGTTTACTCGTCCATCTTGGAATTTGAGGGGTCAAAATTATCTAGCCCACGTCACGCCGGCGCCCATCGTTTGCGTCCAAATCAATGTTCAATGTGGAAGGAACGCCAACCCCGAATCAAGAAACCATCGAATTTGGTAGGCTAGCTATTTATAACCAGGATGTGAAAATATCATTAGTAGTCAAATCCTTTTACTCACTGTAGCCAGCCTGCACAGTTGATAACTTGTTGATTGGAGGATTGTTTTCTAGTAGGACGCACTTTTTAATTTGGTGTATTCAGTTTCTCCTCCTGCCATTTCTTTCTCGTTGCAACAAGGAATGAATGAATGGATGCTCGTTGTTGGCGAAGAATCTGACACGAAAGTGTAGCGTTACCGTCGCGTGGCTTTCTTGTGGACTCTTTTAAACTCTTACGTGGCAGCATGGGGAACAACTTTAATTAAGTCACTGCGAGAAGGTCACGTGGTGCCAAATTCTTCGTCGGTGGGTGGCGACCGTTCATCCTTTCATTGCAGCAGAAATTTGATATTTAGCGCCTTAATGTCGCCGGAGAAACTAGACATACCAAATCGAAAAACACACTAATTTAAAGGGTGTATACAAAATCCCTGTACTTTTTTAAATCAGTTTGAGTTGGGGACTGCTCAATTTAGGTGGTAATTGTCTACAAGTGGGCCTCAATTATTTGGAGAATCTTGAAATTATGGTGCTTTCCGTGTCCTTTCGTTGACGCTGTCAGCTCCAGGTTAGTGATCTAATAAATCAATAAAGAATTAGCCGATCGAGTCTGTCTTCAGTTTCCGTTGTCATGATAGAATTAGAATTTTCTTTCTACCTAAACAACAAGTGTCGCCCTACTTTCCAATTGGTTTCTTGTATTTATGTATCTGTTTATTAGTCATAGAATTGAGTCTTTTGAGTTGGGCCACAATTTTTTTATTTTCCCATTAGTTTTGGAGACAGATACGTCTACATTTTTTATTTTCCAATTGGTTTCTTGTTATGTATGTATCTGTTTATTAGTCATAGAATTGAGTCTTTTGAGTTGGGCCACAATTTTTTTTTTAATTTTAAAAGGAGGCCCGCCCATTAGCTTTGGGGACAGATACGTACCTCTACATTATTTTTATATTATCATAAAATATGACAATTATTACGAATTAATATGCTGGGATCTGCGACTTCTTGGGAGAGTTCTATGGCCGCCGGCCTGAGCTACGGATGTCATTGAAAAATTCAACAGAGAGTATTTCTTAAAATAATTGAAAAAGAGAACTCTTTCTAGTAATTCCATGGCTGCGGTATGAACAGGGGCGTCCCTCGCTTGGACGATTAGTCTGATGCTCCGAAAGATTTGCATTCTGATTAGAAGCTTATTTTTTTTACCAAATCAAGAAATCAACGAGTTTTAAAGTGTTGCAGTAACCAAGGCGAGATGTACTGAAAAAAAAACAAATAAAAAAAATAAAAATATTAACTAGAAAAAAAAAGACACAAAGAGGAGGAGAGCTAGGAAGTAGAAGCACAATATGTGGCAATAAATGAAGAATAAGGACTCGTGATTGCTTATTGAATCAAAGTTGTTATGTTACTCCGAGTCGAACGGCCGTATATGTTATAAAAAAAAAAAGATGATAGCACAACGAGACAATGAATGATGCATGCATCTTTATGTTTACTTGGAAATATTCTCTTGCTCCGTTCGTTCAAAATAAGAAAGTAGAAACCAAGAAATCTATCACCTTACAGCTGGGTCCAATCTCTTATTATCAAGTACGAACTTGTCACGTTGAAAATTCGAAGAAGGCACCCTTAGTTTTGTAAAAAGCAATGCCAATGATTTCAAGTTTGAAAAATCAACTTAAAAATGCCCTCACGTTTAGAAGAATCAACCGAAATGCACTAACATTTGCAAGAATCGCCTGACAGTTGAAAAAAAATTAATTAACGGAATTGCCCTCATACGTGAAACAAATTAACAAAAATGTTGTGCTCAATTTAGAATGCACCGTCTGCTATTTCAACACTCCACATCTCAAGTTTATATGTCATACATGCGTGCGTCGTGTGCGCCCGAACAACCCCTAAAATAAAATAAAAGGGTAGGGAATGCTTTAGGCTGTTTGGCCGTGGGATCCTCTTGAGAAGTCCATGTGAACTCATCTGCAGTAACTATGGAAAAAGAGAGTCTTGCAAGATACTATAGTAGTAGGCTAGTAACTAACTTTATAAATCAAATTAATTATATCGCTGTCAATTAAAGCTGTCACGAGGAATCCATCAATGGAGCATGCTCCTAGCATTGATGGGCTTCATAATTCATGACTATTTCATGCATCAGATGTGCATTCTTTTCTAAGTTTTGCTTCTTTCCTGCCATGATTGCTATAATATTCGTTCCTTCACGTCTTGCCGTCTTAGGCCCATAATAGCAGCTCCACTCCATAAATACGTCATGAGTTTTCATTAATTTCTTATTGATGCTACGGCTTATTACTATTTTATTTTGCACAACTATTGTACTCAAAACGAATTAAAAAAAGGAAATAAAAAATTAAAAAAGATAGAGGTCCCTTTAGGGGCTATTTGGTTGGTTTCTTTTGCCCCTGATTCCCTGCCAAAACTGACAGTTTGCTGTCAGTTTTGGCAGCTTTCTTGCCAAAACTCTCTTTTTAGGGACGTTTTGGCAAGAAAGCTGTCAAAACTTACAGCAGACTGTCAGTTTTGGCAGGGAATCAGGGGCAAAAGAAGCAAAACAAACAGCCCCTTAACCTTGTATTGAAAAGAGAATTCGTCTTATTTTCCAATAGGTAGCATGAAAATATACTATCAGAATTGCAGTGCAGTAATGGGTGTACAATGTTGTACGTGAACCTTGTGTACATGAACTCGAAGTAATGACTCGTATTTACATACAAGCACTGCCAACTCATTATATTCAGTTTATACTCATCATCATGTGCCAAAATGTTGTACATGAACCTTGTGAGTCTTCATTTAACCTACTCATATCCTCTTGCAGCTTTCTCAAAACCTATACATATCAGTACACTCCTAAATCCTGTATAAATTCTAGGAATCAAGTCTATAGATCTCTGTATCCATCTTCTCCTACTCTGCTTTCTTTTCTGCTCTTACAGTAACGGCTGAAAGTATGTGTATCCAGTATATATACAGTTAGTCTTGTATATTTCTGTGGCATGCTTCTTGGTGATTTATATAACTAGAAAGCACCGATTGAACGAGGTAAATTTAGTGCACCGAGCGTTGCTGATTTCAGTAAGTTTTGGGTGTCTGCAGCTGCTGGCTTTGGTTCGGCAGACCTCTCATTTGGTCCGGTAGGACACTTATCGGGCTGTCTTACTATGTAAATTTGGTCTCCGGGGGTTCCATATAAATCTTGGTTCCGGTGCCAAGTCCATAACGCATGGGTTTCATTCTTTACCTGGCAGAACAAACATAGAAATTATATAAGAACTAAATATTCTAACTTTTTGAGAGCCAGAGCTTGAACACCTCTGCAACATATTGGACCTTTAATAACTCATAGCTTGCGAGACATCATTAAACCTTTAAAAGAACTGGTTTATTTTAGGAATGCGCGGGTCTAAGGTAATAAAGCTTGATGCAGTGAGTAACTAAGGAAAGCTTATTAGTCCAGATTTTAAAGAGAGATTAAAACCCAATACTGCAACATTCCAGCAAATAGTAAGTACTACATGTGCACAAATGATATGCATTATCTATTTATTCAGTGCAAATATGCATACAGTCCATATACTGCATATATAATACACTTATAACATGATTGGTTTTAAGATGACTTATAAAGTTCTAAATAATTAAGGCACGTACATGTATAACTTCAATATCTACCGACAAAAAGATTGTCATAGTGTGTGCTGCCAATATGCATATAGGTTTCCATGTCCAAGATTCGTTATATAATTACAGATAATGAGAACCTGACACTGGAACACACACTGGTGTATCCAGAATTATTTTTAGGGGAGCCAATAATAAGTATCTATTTACCTAAAAATAAAAATATAAAACTATAATATCTAATGGAAATGCACTCCATGCACTTTAAATGATCCGATTTAATTTTCTACTAAGTCATTTAATTTTAGATAGATTAATTGGGTGCAATTTTTAAAAATTTATGGGGAACAGATTGTAAATAATATAAGGGCACATATGAAATGTGTAAATTCTTAGGGTGCAACTGCACCCCAATACGTATCTACAGCCGCCTATGAGAACACGCAAGTAATAATTTCTTTAATGTTCGTTGTTCCAGCTATATAGCTCTCGTTCATTTTTTTCCAAGTAATATAGATTTCTTGCTTAGGGCCTGTTTGGATGTTTTCCGAAAAAAAAGGAAATGGAAAACACACATTTCCAACCTATTTCAAGACATTTCAGCACATTTCTCACTTTTCTTTTTTTTTTATTTGTTTCGCAATGAAATCTCTGCCACGTCACATTTAAAGAAAACCCAGCCGCAAAAGCAATAGTGTTTTCAGCAATTAAATATTGACTTTTAATCATCTAGTTCCATTTCTTGTGTTTGTTTGAACATCAAAATAAAAATAAAAATCAACCGCAAAAGCAATAGTATTTTCAGTAATTAAATAATCCTTTTTATTCCCAGCCGTCGTTTCAACAGTAGTTTTAGTAATTAAAAATTCTTTGGAGTGACATTTCCAAGTGTTTTCAGAGGATTTTGATCTGAAAATACTTTCTCAAAAATCTAACGTGACATCCTACGTGACACCCTCATTTCTTTAAATCACAAAACGAAACAAACGTGTGATTTGGAAATCGGTTGAAACCAAAATCCTATATGGCGGAGAGAGATTTCTTGGAATCATACGTGGCGGGGGGTTTTCTCATTTTTTTTAGCAAACAAACAGCCCCTTAGTATATTAAATACGAGAGAAAATCAGCAAAGAAACTACCGAGGGCTATTATCTTGAACTAGTCATCAATTTTTCAAAAGATTGGCCTAATCCACAATCAGGGTGCGCTAACAAGTGTGTGAGAGATCTAAGAGAAGGTTACCTCCAATATTCCATGGCCGAAGCTGCTTTCTCGATAAGCACTATAGTCAGGTTGACGGTCCCAGCAGAATTTTCCCGCGGCGGGGCCAGTGGTGAAGTTGAAGGCACATAATTTCTCTGTCCAGTCACTTGCTTTTGATGTATCTGGGCAGTGGCTAGGTTCATCTGCATGATTAACAGCTATCTTCTCTCTGTTGCCACCATCTCCAACAACTATATGAAGTGGAGCGCATGGATCTAATGTGTAGTTGTACACTCGATTTGATCTTTCGTAGGCATGAACCTGATGGTAAAGAACACAAGTACTGGTTTAAAGAGGAAGGTGGTAAGAGATAAACACGGGAGATGATTCTTATTAGCACGGGGGCATCAATTGCGTCCAATGCTAACAATTCATTTACGCAGTCAAATTTTCTTCTCTAATGAGAAACATGTTCAGCCTGTGGGTCTAAACTTACATCATAATCCAAAATAAAAGGGAAGCAGGATAAGGAGCAAGTGATTAATTGCTTATCTGGTTCCTCGAGCCTCTCGAAGTTCTTCCTTTTCTATTCTTTTGCTTCTTTTTTTCTATTTTTTTTTTGTGGTGATTGGGTGTGGGGGAAAAGCAAACAGAAGAAAATGCAACATTCTTTCTTCCAGTTCATAAGTTTTTAGAAGTATAACTAGTGAAATGAATAAGAAAACAAGGTAAATTTAACAAAATCCCTCTTCAGGTGAGGTGACCCTTTATTAGTTAGTTAACCCCCCCTAAACTTTAGAAATGTAATAAAGGCCCTTAAGTTTTGTCAGATAAACCCCTAACTAATGCCATTAATTTAACTGCGAATGTGAAATTCACATGTTCCAAATGACCAAATTGCCCTGATGGGAAAACACCCCGTTCATATCCTTTTTTTAACTGTAATTTTCATCAAAACCCCTTAAGTCTGGTCCAATTTAGGGATTAATTAGTTTTATTAATGATTGATTATTTAATCCAATTTGATGATTAGAGTTTTAATTTAAAAGGGTATTTTGATCTTTATCTACCAGTTCATCTAACACCGTCACGAAAATGTTTTTGGGGTTTTCTAAAACACTCCAAACTTAAGGGAGGTCAAGTTTACAATTTTAAAATTTAGGGGGGTTATCAAAAAACTAGACCAAACTCAGAGGGGGTCTGTAAAATTTACCCGAAAAATTTATAAAATGCTTTTCCTTTTCTCCTCCTATTTCCTTTCCCATCATTTCCTTGCACACAGCCAGGTTCAATGGGAAAAACAACGAAATAATCGGAATGAATTTGTGCACTTACATGGCCATTGAAGACTACATCAACACCATAGGAATAGAGCAGGTCTTCCATTTCCACTCTCATACACTCTGCTTCCCTGTAATGGGCTTTGTAGGTGCTGTACCAAGGTGGATGCCACGTAGCTATCAACCAAGGGGTTACTGTTCTGTCTACATTTGATAAGTCTTTCTCCAACCATTTGTACTGCTCTCCTGCCATGAAAAAAAAATGGAAATCAATTAAGTTGCTATATACTATGTAGTCACCTTAATAGAAATTTATGCAACAATTTTCAAGATTCTGGATGTGTCATGAAATAAGAAGCATTTTCTAAGCGCTTAACCACATCAGAAACCAAGTAAGCTCAAATGTCAAAGCACAATGAACTAATGTAGGGATAAACGAACTCCAGGTTAGCAACAGGACTTATAGGCTGTTATTTTTGTTAGCATATATTAAATATTGAAAACAGCAAATTCATTGTGCAAAAGTTATGTTCAATGAAAATCAATGAAAAATGCTAAGTGTACTACTTTTCTGTTTTACTACTTTGGCATTACTACTCACAAAGGAGTGGGGGCCTCACTTGAAAATTATATTGATGACTCATTATGGCCCCACTCTTTTGTGAGTGGTAGTGCCAAAGTAGGAGAGAAAGTGTAGTACAGTTATCACTACTCAGTTTCTCATATTCAATGGACAGAAAGTCATCGTTGATCATTGTTTCATTAAAAAAAACCTTTTACTGGAACTGGGTGACTTGCTGCCACTGTATCACTCAGAAAATAAAAAAGATAGAAGAGCCAGTATATAGAGGTTAAAATTAAATGCAGCCCATAAAGCCAATGGGATCTGGCGCAGTGAAGGCGTGGGACTGTGTTGTGAAAAGTCCAAGGCTCATGAGAGGACACAACTTGATTACAGAAAACAAAAGCACTATACAGGTAGATAGTGAACTTGCCTGATTTGTCATAGGAAGTGTAGCCACCAAGCATGATGAAATGTATTCCCCCAGCATTAAAAGAATAATAAAATGTTGATGATGATCCGCTTTCTTCAGATGGAAATGCAAACCTGGAACTGTATGATACATAAGTCTTGTCTTCAGCCTGCTTTTCTAACTCATGGTTTCCTTCTATTACCATTATAGGAATTTCTGACAATGTTGGCTCCATAAACCTGCAAAGAGGGATAAGATTTATGATGAAATATATCAGAAAAGCAAAGAGGATTCAAGACAATAGTAGATATCATGTCAAACATTAAATAAAAAAAATCAAAAAACAAGGAAAATAAAAGAAAATCATACTGGAGATGGTTGGCTCTACAGGATAATATAAAAGGTGCAAAGAGAGAGTCAGAGGATCATGGCTTGAAAGGTACAAGAAAACAAGAACTTTCTCCATAAAACTAGGGAGGCACTGTGATTTTCTACTGGTTTGATAGTTAGCAAGCAACAGTACTGTGCATATGAACAAAACTTCAGGAATTGTAGACCCTCAAAAAATGCTTTACGCATTGCTTATGGCATTTCTACATGCATGTATTTTGACTATAGGCTCTATGAACCACATCCCGACACAATACAGACCAGGTTGTAATACATATGTAGAGCTAAATAGTAGTAAAAACAATGATGATATGTCTGTGCGTACACATCTGTATATTGCTGTGCTTTTTCAAGTAAAGAGTCTGCGCAACACTGATTTTGTTTACCTTATCTAGTGAATTGCATTATTATTGTGATCTGGCATGACTATAACTTTTATGTGCGCGCATGGGAAAGCACTAATACTGAAGAAAGTAAAGAAGATAAACTGTAATACAGATATATGAATAGACATACAAGTAAACTCATGTAACTACTGCATCATCTTAAATAAGGGCTAGCAAGCTAATGGTAGAATATTTATAAAGAAAAAAAAAGCAGCCTTTACCTTCCCCAGTAATCCCAACGAGGTTGGTAAGTCTCATGTATTGGAGTATCATGAAATGAACAAGAATAGCAGTCTGATCCAGTTCCATTTGTCAAATACATATTTGCATAAGTAACATCACCCACCAAGACAATCAGATCAGGCTCGTTACTTCTCATATGACTGACTGTGGATGTAGTGTTGTAAGTAAGACCCATATCACCAACAATCGCTATTCGTTTTGGGTAACTCTTAGGTGCTGAAACTGGCATGGTCTTGAAAAAGTGGATATCGCTCAAGGCAATGGAGGGGTCTCCACATTGATAAAAATACTGTGTCCCTGGCTTTAGTCCTGCGAAGAAAATTTAGGGAGTCAACACAGTTTAAAAGTTAGGGAGAACGTATTGGACCAAGAAAAGAGATAATATTGTTATTTTACAAGTTAACATATCGGATTCTTTGCCATTCTTACTGTACATAAGCAGCATGAGGATGAATGTAAATGAGAGAATAGAAGTGGTGGTCAACAGGAAAGAATCCCATACTTGTTAGCTACTGCTACCAAACAGAGGCAATACAGATTCTTCAATGTTCTATAAGTGCATTCATTTTCCTCCAAGAAATTTTCAGGGAGATAATCATCATATTGTAAAAATGGTTCTATGCTAATTGAATATTAAGGAAATATTTAAATATTAAAACCAGAATTCATGAAGCATAGCTTTTGAAATCTACCTGTAAGGCGAACATGGTGAATTATTCCAGAAGTGTAATTCTGGAGGCCTTCAAATGGGTATAACTGGTTGTAAACAAGTGAACTGCCAGTGGCTTGGAGATTTAAAGGATGTCGTGTTCTTCCATAATGAACAATGCTGGCTGCGCTTTTGGGATCCAAAGGCTTGATGTCACTCCCGATTTGACAATCCCCTGGAATTCCAAGAAGGCTTCTGAATAAATTCCGTATTAGAGAAACCAAGCTTTATATTCATTTGGTTCACTGTCATTTAAAAAGATTCTATGGCCAATGACCAGAAGCAACTATTAATTAGACAGCAAAGAAAGATTTCAGATTTTGAAGTTCAACTCGGAAGCATTAGGACCCCTTAAATTCTAGCCAGACATAGTACAAAAGTATTTCAAGGCCTCTCAAATATGTAGAATAAAGTAAAATTTCACATAGAACCAAATGGAGGAGAGATTAATGCACATATATAAAAAACTTCACCAAAAGTTTCAGAAAACAAATTTCACACAATCAGCTGGAATTTTCAAAAGATGTGATATAATCCTTAACCCCACAAGTCAGATAAAAACACGATAGCATATCATCAAAGCAACTATCATAATCTTTTATAGGTAAACTGAGGATAGACCTCTTGTACCATTGTCCGATTGAACTTACTACCCTTGTAGTTATATTATTGCAGATAGACAGACCCCTTGAGTGAAATTCTTTTGACCCTTGTCAAGGGAGCCTATCTGCAACAGTAGATTTCCACTCAGGGGTTCTATCTGCAATAATAGAACTCTTTCAGGGGATCTATCTGCAACAATAGAGCATTTTCAGGGGAATGTCGCAATTGAACAACAGGGGTAGTAAGTTCAATTTGGCAATAATGCAGGGGATCTATCTGCCATTAGCCCTTCTTTTTATTCCTTTCTTCAAAGGAAATGTTATCATCAGATAGAAGGAGAGAACTTGTTCCTATTCATAAAGCCGGCAACATTTCTAAATAAGAACTGCAGAACTTAAACAATAGTCTACTTGAAATCAAATTTTATTTTAAAAGAATATAAACTAAATCATCAATATTAATTATATTTCACGGGTATCACAAATTTAAGATATCTAAATCCTATCCCCAAGCGAATGCTACAAAAAAATACATAAAGATTGTTTAATATTAATTTTATAAAAAGCTATTTCTCTAAGTCAAGATAAAAAAAAATTCCCCCAGTCCCTTTCGTTTTATTTATTCATTATTATTATTTTATTTTTAAATTTTTTTCTGCTAAAAATGCACTTCCCAGACAAAAATTTCAAACTTTAGCACCAATCTTTTCAGATTCCATCAATGTTAAGGGGGAAAAAATAATGATAAAGATCGTAACATTTTCAAATTTCAAATTAATTCAACAAAATTCAAGGTACACTTTCCTCGCATTTACCAGTGATCCAAGAGATCCAAACAGAATCATGATTCGCCGAAAGAGACAACGAGATCTGCTCCGGCTCGAACCCCTTCGCCTTCCTCCTAACCCTCGGATCCTCCTCCGGCAAGTCCACCGCATTCCCCCTAAAAACCCCGTCCTCCAACCTCGCCGTTCGCCGGTCGAACGGCCCTCTAAACCGTCGTCCTCACCGCAGCCCCCGACCCGCCGCCAGAATCGCCGCGCGCCAGGGCAATGGGGCCGCGCCACCTCCTCGCATCCCCTCGGTGATCCTTGCTGCTATGTGAATATATATCTTCTAGGGTTTGGGATTGAGATTGGATGATGAGCTTGATTTGATTCCTTTTTGAGGTTCTTATTGTTGGGGGAAAAGAGGGGAGGAGAACAAGCGAAGTGATGGACGAGAGAGGGGGTTGTCGTTATCCACCCCGCCACTCCAACGGTTTGCTTTGTTTTTGTTTTTCATTGAAAAAGAGAGGAGCTTATTATGGAAACACGATTAAGGGCCTTAGGAGTTTCTTGTATACCCAACACACACACATAGTATATTATACTAGTATTTAGACTCGTGCAAACACGGTTTCTAAAAAAATTTCACAACTTGGTTTTTAGTTCTCTAGGTTTTTATTAGAACCTCTCCTATATATATATATATATATATTAATATATATATATATATATATGAGATTAATGGGTAATCCTTAGTCATAGGAGGAGATTTCTCCTTGACGCCTCTAAAATCACATAATTGAGCAAGATTATGGATGATCCGCTCCGTTGAACTTGATCTACATATTCTAAAACCCCAACACACCAAGTTTGGGGTGAATCTGTCGCGTTTGACCCTCCATCGAGCCATGTGAAAAGTTCTATTCATTCAAAACCGTTAAATTGATACGACGTGGATGAATGGTCAAACGACGACGGGTTCACCACAAAAGTGGTGTGTTGAAGTTTTAGAATATGTAGATCAAGTTCAACGGAGCGGATCATCCATAATGTCGCTCAATCATGTGATTTTAGAGGTGTCATAGGAGGAAATCCTCCTATGACAAGGATACCCCATTAATCTCTCTCTTCTCTCTCTCTTCTCTCTCCTCTCTCTGTTCTCTCTCTCTCTCTCCTCTCTCTCTCTATCTTATCTCTATATAATATATATATATATTATATATATATATATATATATATATTATATAATATAATTATATATATATAGGGAGAGGTTCTAATAAAAACCTAGAGAACTAAAAACCAATCCTAACCCTCCAATCTATCTAATCCAATGGCCTATATTTCGATGGTAGAATTATAAATATAGACACATTTAATACACATCAGCTGTAAAAAAGGGTAAAATTGGAACAATTCACTACATTAATGGTGGCTGGCAACATTAATGCTTCTCTGTTGAGTTCTCCATTTCCCCATTTCTCTCTCTAACTCACTTTCCTGCTCTCTGTAACTCACTTTCATCTTCTATCAAGCTTTGATCTTCCATCTTCGCATGAAGAACACAGCAACAATTCATTAAAAATGATCCTAACCATCCAAGCTTTCGCTGGAGTGAATCTGGATTCACTCCATTGAATCTGGATTATATTGAAGCTCGATTCATTGGAGTGAATCCAGATTCACTGAATTGAATCCAGATTTAGTGAACTGAAACTCGTTATCAAACAATAGCAAATCTGCAAAAATAAAAAACAAAAAGAATAAGAAACTTATGGTAAAAAACAAGCTATAAAATTTTAAACCATGATAAGATTTCACATTTTACAGCAAAAAGTTACGATTTTTATGGTAAAAAACAAACACCTCACATAACTGAATCTGGATTCACTACAGTGAATCTAGATTCACTCATGCGTTTATTTCTTCAAAATTACAGCACATGCATTTATTTCTTCAACAATTCATTAAAAACCATCCTAACCATCCAAGCTTTCACTCCATTGAATCTGGATTATATTGAAGAATAAGAAACTTATGGTAAAAAACAAGCTATAAAATTTTAAACAAAAAGAATAAGAAACTTATGGTAAAAAACAAGCTATAAAATTTTTATATTGAAGAATAAGAAACTTATGGTAAAAAACAAGCTATAAAATTTTAAACAAAAAGAATAAGAAACTTATGGTAAAAAACAAGCTATAAAATTTTAAACCATGAAAAGATTTTATCTTTTACAGCAAAAAATTATGATTTTTATGGTAAAAAACAAACACCTCACATACTGAATCTGAATTCACTGCTGTGAATCGAGATTCACTGCAGTGAATCTAGATTCACTTATGCGTGTCTTCGTTTTTCAACTGGTTTCTTCAAAAAACAAAAAACTTTTCAGACTAAAAGGTGAAATATTTCACCTTTTACAACAAAAAGCTACGATCTTTAAGGTTAAAACTAAAATTTTAGACGAAAAATCAAACAAATTTTATAAACTTACCATTAAAACGTCAAAATAATTTAATAGCCCACTGAATCATGAAGACGAAGGTTGAAGAAGACCGTGAAGACGAAGCGTCAAAATAATTTCATAAACCATGAAGACAAAGGTTGAAGAAGAGAGAGTTGTTGTGATTTTGGAGAGAGAGAGGTTGAAGAAGACGAAGGTTGAAGAAGAGAGATGTTAAAGACAGAGAGAGTTGCTGTGATTTTGAAGAGAGAAAGAGAGTGAATTGCATGGGGAAATGAAGAACTCAACAGAGAAGCATTAATTATCTCTCTTTAGTGGGCTGTTTATTTTACCTAATTACCCTTATGCAGCTTTAATCTCAGCCATTGGATGAATCTAGATCCAATGGAGAGGATTGGTTTTTAGTTTTTAGGATAGTGAGGTTTTTATTTGAACCTCTCCATATGATTATATATAATTATATTATATATATAATTAATTATAATATATATATATATATATTTATATATATATCATTAGATTAATAGGTAATCATTGTCATAGAGGGGATTCCTCAGACGCATATGTGGCATAATCCCCATTCATCCATTAATTAAGTAAGAGAGCATTGTGAGTTGGTGAGGCCATTTCTGCCTACTTTATGAGTCGTGAGTGGCGATTGTGCCACATAGGCGACAATGAGCGGAAATTCCTCTATTGACAAGGATACTCATATACCTAATATATAATATTATATATATATATATATATATATATATATATATATATATATATATATATATATTATTTATATATTTACAGTGCGTTCCTATAACGCACAACTTCGTTACGCTCCAACCGAGTTGGGTTTTTTTGTGTAAACCAAAGCAACAGCCACTTATTACAATATCTACGTGACCCTATCTTCTCCCCCCCTCTCTCCCCCAAAAAAGCCCCAACGCCCTCCTCCTCCATCAAAGCCCCAAATCCGCGGCTGACGGTTGAGTCTCTCAATGCTCCCTCAATCGGCAACTCAACGGACCTTCACCACTCCGCCTCCCTCCCAACGTCACCCCCCATCTTTAAGTACTTGAACTCCGTGAGCAATCGCCACCGCCTCTCCACCTAGGAACCCCAACCGTAACTCCGCCACGACTCCGAAATCTGAGACCGCCGCGAGATCCCTCTCTTCCTTCCTCCTCCGCGACCAATCGCCGCCCACCTCTCCGCCACGAACCCCAGCCGCAACTCCGCCTCCTCCTCCTCCGCCGCCATTAAAGACGGGATTTCGTCAATCCCTCTCTGAACTCAGGTAAGGATCACACCCCAATTTCAGTTCGATGAACTGATTTTTTTTAGCCTCGATGTTTAAGTTTTTTTTTTTGAAAGGAGAAATGAAACTTTTGGCTTGATTATGTAATTAGAACTGATGCTCGTCACCCTGGTTTCGTATGAATGTGCATGAATGTTACTATGGGTAACCCAAAATTCTGAATTCGGCATTTTGATTAAGCCCCTGAGCTTTAATTTGGGGACATTTTATCCCCTGCATCAATTGTACTGTTGGTGTCTATTTGCAGAACTTATCTTTTCATTACACAAATTTTTTTAGATTTTATAATTTTTCCTATTATTTTCTGTTTCACATTGCCTCCATTTTTTTTATTTCTCTAAAAATCCAAGAGTGTTTGGCAATGAACTGCATTTTGTTGAAGGAAAAACCATATTTTTCTAGGGTCAAAATTGATGTTCATGGCTAAACTACCACTTCATGTATATATGTTACAAACTGACAGGTTAAATTTATAGGTCAATTACAATTTTTAGTGAGAAATGGAAAACTTGGACACTGAAGCTAGGTTAAATTTATAGGTCAATTACAATTTTTAGTGAGAAATGGAAAACTTGGACACTGAAGCTAATGAAGTAAACTTGGACGATGATGATTTGATATATACTTGAAGTAAACTTGGACGATGATGATTTGATATATACTCCTCAAGTATCAGATGAGTTGAGGCCAAAAAAATGGTAAGAATTTGACACAGTAGATGATATTGTGACATTCTACAATGCTTATGCTAAAGCAGTTGGGTTTAGTGTAAGGTCTTGGACTACTCATAAAGAGCCGAGAAGTGGTGAAATAAGAAGGAAGGAGTATGTTTGTTTTAAATAAGGAAAATCTCCAAGAATCGCGGATGTTGGAAAGAAAAGACGTCGAGGAAGCTTAGTTGAGGATTGTACTGCCAAAATTATAGTTTTAAAATCAAACTCTGAAAAATATATTGTTACTGTTTTTAATGAGGAACACAGCCATCCGCTATCAACACCATCAAATGTTCATCTTTTAAGGTATCATCGTAACGTTTCAGCCGTAACAAAGTCTTTAACTAAACAGTTCTCCATGGTGAATATACCTCAGTATCAACAATTTAGTTTTCTTGGAGTACAATCTGGAGGTATAGAAAATATTGGGTGCACTCAAAGAGATTTGTATAATCATGGAAGGGATATACATGCTGATATGAAGGGGCATGATGGTGAAATGTTTTATGAGTATTTAAAATTAGAACAAGGAAAGAATCTCTCGTTTACTTTTCAAATTGAGGCCGATGAGGAACAAAAGATTACTCGTTGTTTTTGGTCCAATGTAAGTTCAAGGTGGGCTTACAATTTTTTTGGTGATGTTGTAATCTTTGATACTACGTATAACACTAATCGTTATGGCCTGATATTTTCACCAATAATGAGGGTTAACAATCATGGTCAAACAATTATTTTTTTTCTTGTGGATTTTTGAATCATGAGAGCGTTGATGATTTTGTATGGTTATTTAATCAATTTTTGGAAAGTATACTTGATGGTGCCCCAAAGATGATTATTACCGATCAAGACCCAACTATGACTAAGGCATTCCCTCTTGTTCTTCCAAATACTTTTCATAGGTATTATAGTTTGTATATATTATTGATAATTTTTGAATCATGAGCACTATCACTGGTTTATTCTATCCACTCATCTCATCTGGAGGTATAACACTTTATTTAATTCTTTTGACAGACATTGTAGTTGACATATATTAATGATTTTTTCTAAGAAAATTGATGCAGTGAAGTATAGTATTTATAAGAGTGAGTTCTCGGCTTACATTTGGAAATCGAAGACTCCTGAAGAATTTGATTTACAATGGAAAAGTCTGATTAAGAAAAGTGGATTAGAAGGAAACAAGTGGTTGCAAGACTAATATGAACTGCGGTCAAGATGGATTCCTGCATATGTTAATCACGTTTTCTCAGCTGACATGTCAAATAGTCAACGAGCAGAAAGTGGACATGCATTTTTTAAGAAATTTGTTACAAAGAATAATTTATTAGTGAATTTTATAATACAGTTTGGCAGGGAACTAGTGCGCCAACGTCACGGGGAGTTGATGGCCGATCACAAAGATGTAATTGAGAAACCTAAACTTAGAACAAATCACGATTTTTTGGAGCAAATGGTTGATATTTACACGAATGAGATGTATTACAAGTTTGAGGCTGAAGTGTGTGGCAACTTTAACTACAAGTTGCAGTTTGTTAGGGAAACCGACAATCACCGTGTTTATCAAATTCAAAGAAAGAAGCTCGCAACAAGTAAAATCCGCGAAATTGTTTTACAAGTTGTAGTTGTAAAAAGTTCAAAAGCGTCGGAATCCCATGTATGCACATTATCTCATATTTGATGAAATTTGATGTTGAAATATTACCCGATAAATACATCTTAAAGAGGTGGACTAAGTCTGTAAAATCGAGAGCAGTGGATGATGATAAAGGCATGCAGATATCCCCTGAAACTTCTTATCTTTTAACGAGGAGTCAATTTATCCAATCGTCTTTGGATTTAGTTGACAAGTCCCTAGTATGTGAAGAAACAAGGACGATGTTTACCAATGGATTGCGTAGCATTAATGAGCAAATTGTCCAATTTCTTAGTAGCCGCATGACTGTAATGAGCTTCACTGAGAAAAGTAATTCAATAGGTAGTAATATAATAGGTGATGGTATTAGTTTTGCATGGTTCTTGTACTTTTCAAAGTAGTTTTAATGAACCCGATCAAGTGCGAGCAAAGGGATGCGGCAAAAGGTTGAAAGGAGGAAAAGAGAAAGCAATGGCTAGAGCCAAAAATAAAAAAAATAGACGTTGTCACGGGTGTGGTAAAGTAGGTCAATCACATGATAAGCGGAATTATTTGGCACTCACAAATCTGTAAGTCATTAATTCTTTTATTAATAATGTTTTCTTATTTTTCACATTTTAGTATCCCTCTTGATGTATATATATATATATATATATATATATATATATACATATATAAGCTGCTGAACACTTTATTGTTCTCTTTGCTAATTTTCATTTGATGGCCTTTCGGATGCTGTGATTCATATATTGCTGATCTTAGTTACTTGATTTGTGATGCGTATTATTGCTTATCACGATGTTTGAAATGGCCTGATGCCTGATGGTACAAGATTGCTGATTAATAACTCATACCTCCTGCCCTCTTGCCTTTTATCCTCCACTTATTTTTGCATTGTCTGCAGGCTGTCTGTGTGAATATCTGCACGGAGTGTCTTTGCGGACAGAGCCGTGCTGGCACTGTTCATGCTTATTGTTCATTCTAATTACTTCGCTTGCATCTTGCTGTTTTTCTTGTAATTGTGTCAGGTGGACACTCACTTTCAATGCACTACATCATTCGAGATTTTCCTTCAATTCCTTGCACTAAATTCTTAAACAGATTTTCCTACTTTCTTCTGATTTACATTCTTCAGTTGAACCTTAATGGGGTTTTATGTGCAAGCTAAATTGAAAAAGAACCCGCCCTTTGTTCTTCTGTATTGGAAGCTAAGACCGTCTTTCTGGTAATATTGCAGGTACCTGAGCAAGATAACAAATATCAAATCATCCAGGGGCTGTATGAAAACAAAACAAGTGACAGGCGAGAACAACATTGCCTCCATAAATCTCTTCACTCCACAAGTGGCAATTAAACAGACTCAACCTCTTAGCAATAAATGTTCAAACAAATTGATAATCAACACACTCGCGCATGAATATTAATCAACTAATACCAAGATCTCTCCCTTTTGCGAATTTAAATCATCAGATTAAGGACATCATACCTGTCCAGTAGTTCTTTTGCTGAGTTGGACAAGAACTATAATAATAGCATAACAGGCAAAAAAACTAGAACAAGACCACACAAATTACAGAAATACAGCAGCTATATCCATTTTGTGGAGAAGTTGAGGCAGAGAGGAAGAGGCATGGAGACGAGAGGAGAAGCAGAGTAAGAGGTTGGAGCGGAGAGGGACGAGCGAGGAGGTATGTGTGTGGTGTCGAGAGATGGGCTAAGATGCGTGAGTCTGCCCAGTGTCTGCGGTTGGAGTGAGTGAGGGAGAGGGCGGGGTGCGGCGGACGAGGCGAGATGCAGGGCGCAGGAGTGAAGTGGACGAGAGAGTGCGTCCAGAGCGTGAGAAGATGAGCGATTCTGCGGCGTAGTAGAGGTCGCGGGAGGGAAGGGGAGTCGCCGGAGGAGGGTGGAAGGTTAGCGGGAGTTGGAACCGAGTCCACTTAGCACGGAGCTTGAGGGGATCGACGGAGTTCACTTAGGAGATGGGGGTGATGCTTCCGGGAGGGAGGCCGGATGTTGGTGAAGTCGCGGAGTTGGCGGGATTTGGGGACTGAGCCTCGAGGAGAAGTCGCGTAGGAGGGGATTTTGGGCTTGATGGGAGAGGCAGTTTCATTATGATTGGGACGGGGTGTCCTTTTTTTGAGAGAGACGAGAGAGAGAGAGTGAGAGAGAGAGAAGAGCGAAGGATTAGGCGGTGTGTCGAGAAGCACCGGCGATTTTTGCAAAAATAACCCAGGAGCCGTGTGGAACTGCGTACGCGCTTGATCCGTATTAGATCGAAGCGCTTATATACGATATATATATTATATTATATATATATATATAGTATATAGTAGTATATACTATATATATATATATTATATATATATGTATACTATCTATATATAGTATATATATATTGTATAACTGTACTTTTTTTTTTTGTTATACAACGAGCGTTTCCTTGGGGTTGGTTGTGATCGTTGCTCGGGGCTAGCGCTTTGATGCCCCTCGGTTGTCCTCCCCCTTTTCAGGTAACGACTGCCAAGAACCCGGGTGAGAGTTACAGGTTGTGATGACTGCTGAACACTTTATTGTTCTTGTGGTCTAATTTCATTTGATGGCCTTTCGGATGCTGAAATTGCATATAGTTGTGATCTTAGTTACTTGATTGTGATGGTATATTGCTAATCACGATGATTTGAAATGGCTGGATGCGCTGATGGTAAACTGTTGCGATTATAACTCATACCCTCCTGCCTCTTGCCTCTTTTATCCTTCACAATTATTTTGTGCAATTGTCGCAGGTGTCTGTGTGGATATTGGCATCGGATGTTCTTTGGGACAGAGCCGTGTGTGCACTGTCTTCATGCTTTATTGTTCATATCTCAATTACTTCGCTTGATCTTGCTGTTTTCTTGTAATTGTCAGTGCGACATCAGCTTTCAATGCACTACACATTCAGATTTTTGCCCAGTATTCCTGGTCACTAAAATTTAAACAGATTTTTCCTACTTTTTCTGATTTACATTCTTTGTTGAAGCTCTTAATGGGGTTTTTATGCAGAGCTAAAATTGAAAAAGAAGCCGCCCTTTGTCTTTGTATGGAATGTAAGACCGTCTTTGTAAATGCAGGTACCTGAGCAAGATAACCAATATCAAATCATCCAGGGGCTGTATAAACAAAACAAGTGACAGGAGAACAACATTGCCCTCCATAAATCTCTTTCACTCAAAAAAATGCAATTACAACAAGACTAACCTCCTAAGCAATAAATGTTCAACCAATTGATATCAACACACTGAAATTCATTTGCTAAGACAATACCAATAAGATCTCTCTCTTTTGGAAATTTAAATCATCAGTTAGAATATACCTGCAGTAGTCTTTGTGATTGGACAAAATATAATAAAAAGAACAGCAAAAACAGGAACAAGAAGCCACACAAATTACAGATAATTAGACAGCAGTAAGCCATTGATGTGAAAATTAAAAAAGACAAGAAAACAATAATTACAGAACACAAATATTGTTGTCAAATTCTGATCTATCTCGCATTCTCGTTGGATTAGAAGCCTCACGAGCAAGTTTGCAGCAAGGTAATACAATCTCCAACCGTGAAAGGGATAGCATTTCTCGTCGGATCGAGTTGGGGAAGTCGGCGGAGCTATGAGTTATAATCAATAAAAAAAACCATCAGCAGACTATGAGTTACAGATTGAAAGTGTTCACGTTCAAGTACAATCAATAGAAAAACCATCACCAATCAATGGAGTACATCCTATATATATTTCCAAAACTGAAACTAGATATATTTCCAAAACATTATCCATCATTACATATTTTAAAGATCATGATGTACTTCCGTAGTTTTATTGCTCCGTTCTGCACACGGGATAACTCAAAGAACTGTTTTCTCCAATCCGAAGATGTCTGGCCCCTCTAGTTGAAAATTGGATGTGGATCGGATGGGAGAATTTTCGGCTTCGACAACCTTGTTGGATCCGAAAAGTCTCTGCTCAAACTCTAGCAAATGCTGTTTGCCATCTGCAAGTGAAAAAGGTCGAGTTAGTTCCATTACACACCTCGAAACAAAACTACAAGAACCTATGGGACTAGATACAGCAAAATCGCCTTATTTATTGAGAAATTTCTAATTGGTGATTTGATGAAAACAAATAACCTAAAAAGAGTTTGGAACAGTTTTGACTTCTGAAGATGTGTAGGTGTCTAAATCTGTTTGGCTTACACAACCTCATATGCAATTGGATGTGATAAACTGATATTAATATACCTCTGAACTCAATTTGAGCAAGGAGAGGTTTATGATTTAAACATTGATGTATGAAAATGGAATACGAGCAAATTCTTCTTTTATGAAAACAACTATAAAATGTTTAGTCATCTTTTTGGACGTACTATATGCACTCTTGTACTCTTACATTCTGAGGTTAACTAATGCAATCCTCAAAGAATGTTAAACTTTTCTTAGTCTTTTGTTCAGGGTTCAAGACCCCATTAGGACTTATTCAAGTTTTTTTTAATTTTGTATTAGCTTTGCTTGGAGTAACATGTATTAGCTTTGCTTTAATTCCATAACAATGCTACGGCTGAAGATTCAAATAAACCAAATATACCAGAAATTGGTGCGTGATCCTTACCTGAGTTGGGGGATCTCGAGAGAGAACTCGAGGGAGATCAGCCGTGGTCGGATATAGAAGCTCACGAGCAAGTTGCAGCAGGCTAATACAATCTCCAACCTGAAAAGGGATACATTCTCGTCGGATGAGTTGGGGGAAGTCGGCGGAGGAAGGGGAAGTCGCCGGAGGAGGGGGAAGTTAGCGGAGTTGGACGAGTTCACTTAGAGAGCTTGAGGGAGATCGACGGAGTTCACTTAGAGATGGGGGGTGATGTTGGGAGGGAGGCGGAGTTGGTGAAGTCGTCGGAGTTGGCGGATTTGGGGGAGCTCGAGGGAAGTCGACGGAGGAGGGATTTTGGGGCTTGATGGAGGAGGAGGATTATGGATTTGGGACGGGGTCCTTTTTTTGGAGAGAGAGAGAGAGAGAGAGAGAGAGAGAGAGGAAGGATTAGGCTGTTGTCCAAAGACAGGCGATTTTTGCTATATATATATATATATATATATATATATATATATATATATATATATATATATATACAGCGCCTTTCTCATGCGAATCAATTCGTACGCATTGGAACGATTTTGGGCGATTTTGGGTTTTTTCGCAAAAAAACTCCGCTAATTGACTTCGAACTCGTGACCGTACTTGGGATTGAAAGAGGGGGCTTTTTTGCAAAATGTCACCGAAAGCATCTCTCTTAAATCCCTCTCGTGACCACTCTCGTTATCCCCAAAATAAAATCCCCAAAATCAAATCCCCATCACCGACTTCCCCCAAATCCATCCCCGTCACCGCCGACCGCGACCCCATCACCGCTGGCCGCGACATCCCAATCTTCGACCGCAACTCCGACGGACTCATCTCCCCCTCGTTGTCGCCCCCCCAACTCCTCCACGACACCACCGTCGCCTGAGAACTCCGGACAACTCCGCCGCTGCGAGATTGAACCGGCGCTGCAGGTAATAACTCGAACCCTATCTCTCTCGATCCCTCTCTCTCTCTCTCTCGATCCCTTTGATTGGATTGGCTTCGAGGAAATGGGTTTTTTTCTTTCTTTGATTGGTTCTGCTGAAATTGGTGACCATGGAGATGGGGATTTGGATTCTGGGTGTAGATTGATTGTTGTTGAAGCACCACTATTTGTGTACTAAAAATTGTAGTCAGGTTATTGTGTTTCTTTTCCTTTGACTATTTGAGTAGCTGACAGAAAATTGTTGTCAATTTTAGTTTGTAGATTACATCTGTTTTAGGCATTTCTACGACTGCAACTAAATTTTATAGTCAGGTTATTCTTTGTTATATATTTTATTCTGCTGATATTCTAATATCTTGGTCAGTTGGATTGTGCTCAGAACTCTTTTGCAGTTGAATCACTCATTTCCTGTGTTTGCAGGACTGTTGTTTACAAAGGACAACTGAAGCCAGTTCAGTTGAAGAATTACTATTATGCTGATCTTGGTGATGAAAGGTTCACAAGTTTTATGGCACTGGTAAATACTCTTACATTCTTCTTATTGCACAGTCTGTATTTAACAGCAAGCTGCTTGGAGAAGTCTCTCGTAGCAGAACAAAAGTAAGGTTAAGTAATGAGGTTAAAGGCATCCAAGTTTGTATTCCTTCTGTTCTGCTGTATTGAATATTATTTGAATTTGGGTATGGATGCCTTGGGTAAGTCGGTGAAAGGTCTCAATAGTTGATGAATAATAAACGTGTTGCAGAATCCCGTTGCACTGTTCACTGTGGTCTGTACTTCAGGAAGCTTCCAATACGGAGGTGGAAAGAGAATAATATATAGTAAGGTAGCTTAGGGCTTCCACATTACTTTGTATTGGCACTGATGATAGGCAGAATCCCTAGTTCATTTTAAGTGCCTTGATGCAAAATGATCTTGGATATTCAGATGAATTTTTAATTGGCATGAAAGCTAAAGATATAAGAAATTATTGGACAGATTATTGAGTTGCTTTGCTCTTATGCGGGTACACTCTAGGTTCTCAACAAATACCTTTCCTAGCTGGGATCGTGCTCAGCCCATGCGCATCTTGGGTCACAACGGAGAGATTAACACACTTCGAGGCAATGTTAACTGGTAAAGTTTTTAGGCACTGAAAACATATTTGCAGAGATAACTGCCTGATAAATAATTGAATCTCATTTCTTTTCTCAGGATGAAGGCGCGTGAGGGTCTTCTAAAGTGCAAAGAGCTGGGATTGTCAAAGGATGAGATGAAGAAACTTTTACCCATTGTTGATGCTAGCTCTTCTGATTCTGGTGGGTTCACTTAAATATTTTTGTGAATAAAGTCCTACAGGTTACATTTAAATACAGGCTGTAATCCATATGTTTTTTTTTTCTTTCATGGTATGAGAACTTGTTGTCCTTTTGTGTACAAACTACTACATGTAAGCCACAGTATGTGTATCATTAGTGTCAGCTTGCCGTTATGCTTTTTCTTTTCTAACGGGAAAAGAGGGACAGGAACAGAGACACAATTCATGTTATTAATAGAAAATGCGAGGAAGGAAAAAATTAACGCACATGTATTAAATACCTTATCTGATATATGTGATGCAAGTAACAGACATGATAAGATGTTAAATACCTTATATGATATTCAGACCGATGAAGATGGTCGATGATGCAGGCATAATTCTTGCTCCATATTTGAACATACAGAACCCTGTGTAGTGTTCTTTGAGTATACTGATATTTATTATCTCACCATAACACAAACATTGCGTCAACAATGGTTGTTTTGTTTGTTTCCTGTTGCAATGTTTCAGTTATTAAATCTTAATTACATTTTGTTGGATTCACTTGTATTAAATTAATTGGAAGAATGCACTCTAATCCCCTTCTTTTTTGGTGCAGTGTCTTATCTGTAGAAAAAGGAAATGAATCCCGCCTTAAGCGGATGATATATAACTTGATCCCTGTAGGTAATTGTGTTGGCTGTTTTCCTTTATAAATTCAGTTCTCGAGTTTTCTTATGAGCGAGGACTTTGACAAGTTGTGTTTTGTTTTATTTGTTCCCTCTTATTGAACTACATCCCCATTTAGGATTTATGTTGCATGTTTAATCTGGATTTATTGAGTTTGATTTGTGTCATCTCTGCGCAGATGGGTCAAAAGTTGAGGATGTGAAGAAGCCTGTCAATCCAATTTCCTTCCTCTTGCGTTTCATTTTGGGTACCAACGCCGCAACCTACTATGTCCTGGTGCCCATTTACATGTGGATTAAGGATCAGATATTCCCCAAGGGTATGCCAATATGAAGAGAGCACTGGCAAAGCAAAGAGAGATGACATTTATGTATTCATTCAGAACTAGTAGCGGCTTCTTTGTCCAGATTTTTGTATGAAAATCTATTATGATTCAACTGATGGACAAATTTTTTAATGTTACCAAGTGAATGCATCCGCTCGCTTATGGTGTTCTTTTGAAGTATTTATATATGTAACACTTTCTTAAGGGAATTATGTGCTTAACGCAACACTTTCTTGATATCTCAACAATTCATAATTTGGACGCTTATGAAAGTTCAATGCCTTCATTTTCTTCAGAATTACATCTATTTGGTATTGTGTTCTTGATATAACTATGATATGTTAATTACTTAATTTATTAACTTAGGTATGACACTTACCAGCTTGTTTGAACACTTACCAGCTGACATTACTTACAACAGCATGTTGCCTGGGACACTTACCAGTTTGTTTGAACACTTACCACGGCATGTTTGAACAGTTACCAGCTGACACATTACTTACAAGAAAAGGAGTTGCATTATTTGAAGGATACAATAAGCAGATAAAGCTGATTGATACAAATCTCAAAACTTATCAAATAATCAACAATTTGTTCGCTCTGAACTGACACTGATGATTACATTTGAAACAGTCAACAATCTACAACTCCACAATCCAAATCTGTTCACAAATCTCATGACACTGATGATTACATTTGAAACAATCAACAACAATCATTACAATAGGAAACAAACTTAAATTTTTTTGAAACGTGTACAATCATCTTCATCTATGTTTCTTCTTTTATAACCCAATCAAATCTTACCTGTACCTCTCAATAAAATTGTGTTAAAAAAGAAACTGTCTTCTAAAATTTGGGGTTTATTTAAGGGATCTTAGATACGTACCGGTCTAGTTAAAATATCTCGCTGAAAAAGATTTTTCCAACTATTAAGATATTTTTGGATCAATTAAGGTAATAATAATATTTAATCTCTAATAACAAAATTATTGTATCGCTTCTCTCATTCTCTCTCCTCAACGCACAAAATATATGCTCCTTCTCCTCTCATCTTCTCTCATTCGCTCACCTCCGGTTCCGCTTCGATCGGACTCCAGTCTCTCATTCGTTGATTGATACAAATCGCAGCGGCGGAGTTGTCCGGAGTTCTCAGGCGACGGTGGTGTCGTGGAGGAGTTGGGGGGGCGACAACGAGGGGGAGATGAGTCCGTCGGAGTTGCGGTCGAAGATTGGGATGTCGCGGCCAGCGGTGATGGGGTCGCGGTCGGCGGTGACGGGGATGGATTTGGGGGAAGTCGGTGATGGGGATTTGATTTTGGGGATTTTATTTTGGGGATAACGAGAGTGGTCACGAGAGGGATTTAAGAGAGATGCTTTCGGTGACATTTTGCAAAAAAGCCCCCTCTTTCAATCCCAAGTACGGTCACGAGTTCGAAGTCAATTAGCGGAGTTTTTTTGCGAAAAAACCCAAAATCGCCCAAAATCGTTCCAATGCGTACGAATTGATTGCATGAGAAAGGCGCTGTATATATATATATAATGTAGGTCTTCAACATGCGGTGATACAAATTTGCAAGAGGATAATGGGTTATCAAGTAAAGATGGGGATGATGTGAATCTTTTTGAATGATGCAAACATGGGTATGATTAAGACAGATAATTTAGATTTATAAATTGTTCTTTAAAATATGTTAATGAACTTTTAGTCATTTGATTTAGATTTGGTTTGGATTTTATTTGGATTGGGATCCGAATAGTTAACTTCTTATCCTTTGATCAGGTCCAAGCGCTCGCTGGAAACGCAGCAAGAGACAACAAGAAACAACAAGAAGAGGTGCAGGAAAACACCCCTGCTGACGATGAGTAGATGAGGACTTTGAAAAAAAATGTAATGACTATTAAGTGTAGTATAGTTTTTGTTTATTCTAGAATGAATGAAATAATTTTCTATGTTATGAGATTATAGTATATCCTGATGGGGTTGAGGAACCGAGATTTTATGCAATATGGATATTGAGCAAGGTTGAGGGTTGCTTTTGGGTTTATCATAGGTTTTCATCTTCTGCTAAATCTTTTGGGTATTTCCATTCCCTGGAAACTAATTAGGCTTACATTCTGGGTCTTGAATGGTTGGGTCTAAAGTTGCGATTCATGTCAATTTTTTGAATTAGTTTTATGCAACAACTTAGTTGATTCATATTTTTATTGTTCTATACAGAATGTGAAGGGATCTTACTGATGTAGTAAAATTTTGTCATATATTGTTATTTATACTGATTATAAGAGAGAAAATTCTTGTATTGAGTATTACAGTAAAATTCTTGCATTTATTTTCCGCAGGCTCTCTGTGACCACTGCTAATTGCCCAGTAGATATTTACATCTCATTTCCTATATATTTGATACAATAACATGGAAATGTTTGTTTATATTCGGCGGTGGCCCTACAAATGTTGCTGCCACAGTCATAAATCTCCATGGTTTTGAGGCTCCCAGTAATTATGAAACAACCCTAATCGAAGTTGTCGACAAATGATCCAATTATTTTCTCCTACAGGTCTAGGGTTTCCAATTTAATGCCGAGGGCGTAAATAAAAAATTTTTTGCTGGAAAGTTGATACTTTCTTCAGGTTACTTTTTAGTTTTTTTCATGACCTGAAGTTGCTTGCTTCTTTGTTGATGATTGTTTCGAGGGAATTTTGCTTCCAAAACCCTGATGGATATTAGAAGAATTATTAGCTGGTATTTTACTTCTGACAGAGATTTATAAACTTGCAAAAGTTTATTTTTTTTATTTCCTTGTTTTTTTGAACTAAACCTATTGGGGTTTTGAACTAGCACTTGTATGTCCTATTTTTTTTACCATTCAGCGAAGTCTCAGTAGTAATAAGTGATCAATGCATGTTCATTAAACCAAGTGACTATTAACAATTGGCATACTACGAAACTGCTTATATTCGACGGTGCCTTGTAATGCTTCAGTTCAAGAGATGGTATTGTAGCGCACGTTGATTCAAATTTCATATCTTAGACATGGAAGTCATAATTTTCTTCAGCACAGTTTACATACATAAGAAAGTAATAATGGCCAAACAAAAGATGGTTTCATTCCAGTACATCAAGTTACATCACATAATTTCTTTTATGGCCAATCCAAAAGACAACAAAAAGGCTATAACAGTTAGTCATTTCCACTGCACTTTTTCACGTACAACAACTAAGTCATGCGTCTCTGATGGGGGAATGACGAGTGGTACTTGTTCAATTGATAAAATCTTACACCAGCCCAAAAACGAACCGCACTTTTGCCTTTTACACGAGTAGTATATGCTACCACGATTACTGTTCTTGTTTGACTTCGTAATCTTCACATCCGCTAATTCTCCACACTCACATTATTTCAATATGAATCTAATATCCACTTCAACACATGAGTTACTTTCCACAATTGATGATGAAGCCATTTCAAGATGCTTACAAGTAAACAGAAAGATAAAAACTAAAATTATAAAAGCTATATGTTTTGGTTTTACTCAATATAAATACTAAAATTATAAAAACTAGGTTCAAATTTCCTGGATGTAAGTTTAGATGTAAGTTTTTAGGTATAAAAACTAGGTTCAAATTATAAAAGCTATGAATTTAGATTTAAGTTTTTAGGTATAAATTCGAAGTTTTAACCAAATTAACATTTATACACACTCAATTCCAAAATCCCTCATGAGCTCAAATGTCCTCATCCGTTATAAGAAAATAGGGTATCCGCAATGGATATTTTCAAGCTGGTTCAAATTTCCACACACGCATTGCTATTAGTTTTTGGCAGTCAACCTTGGTTCAGAAGAGATGAGGCTTGATTTTTATTAAATTTTTCTTATTAATTTTACCGCACTTGCAATGGATATTATTCTTATTAATTTTCCGAAAAAAAGAAAAAGAGAATAGGTAAAAAAAATTTACAAGATCATTTTCAACCTCATGCAACTTAGTCTAGCATGAAACCCTAAGAACAACAAATAAACTATACACTAACTGAAAAATAATAGAGAATAGGTAAAAAATTCGGGGCTTGATCGTTACCTGAGTTGGGGGATCTCGAGACCGAGCTCGAGGGAGATCGGTCACAGTCGGCGGAGTTAGGGGTAGTCGGCGTCGAATGAGTTGGGGTAAGTCGACGAAGGAGGGGAGAAGTCGGTCGAGTTGGGGGAGCTCACTTAGAGAGCTCGAGGGAGATCAAGGGAGCTCGATGGAGTTCACTTAGAGATGAGGGGTAACGTTGGGAGGGAGGCGGAGTTAGTGAAGTCGTCGGAGTTGCCGGATTTAGGGGAGCTTGAGAGAAGGAGCTCGAGAGACTCACCGTCGCTCCAATTTTGGGGCTTGATGGAGGAGGGGTTGGGGCTTTTTTGGGAGAAGAGAGAGAGAGAGAGAAAAATAGGATCACAAGATTGTATATGTGGCTGTTGCTTTGGTTTTTTGCAAAAAAACCCAACTTGGTTGGGAATGCGTACAAAGTTGTGCGTATGAGAAACGCATTGATGTGTGTGTGTGTGGCGTTGATAGTGTGTGTGTGTGTGTGTGTGTGTGTGTGGGTGTGGTATATTTTGAGAATATGGGAACCTTGAGTACAAGTTTCTTTCATTGACTTGGTGTGAGGTGGCCAATTATAGTCCTTATAATTGCCTCGGGATGAGCCTTTTTTTAGTAGCTGAATAGTAATTGCGGTTCTCTCTCACAGATGATGTGGGTCTTTTGATTTGGCACTCATTAACAGTTCAATGGAAAATTACGGTACAGGTTCTCCATTTTCTTTCTCATCTGTCTCTCTCTCTTCCTTTATATATAATATTTTTATATATATATATTTGGGAACTAGAAAAGCGTTTGTCAGGCTCTTTCCCAAGTTTTAGCTGACAGGTGTATGACATGTGAGTCCCAATCGATGTGACTAGTAGGGCGGTTACATGTATACATTGGTAGTCACGAGGGATGGCTGGGCCAGCTTTCTTTCATTTATTCTTAATATATATAGTTATATATATATTATATATTATAATATATATATTTTTTATATATATTATTTTTTATAATATAATATATTTATATATTATATATTATATATTATATAATATATACAT